CATCTGAAGGTGCAGCAACACTGGAGGGAAGTTTAATCAGTTTAAGATTAAATCTGAAATCATCAGCTGGTATCTTTCACACATTTCAGGGAACCATTTGATATGACGGCATTTCTTAGAAAACATTGGAATTTTCTGAAAATTGTCTAGAAAAGTGAAAGATTTGATAGAAAAAAAATCTGAAATTTTGAGATTAATTCCAGAAGTTTCTTAGTTAAAAAAAAATAATAATAAATTGGACATTTCTGAGTATGAATCTTCAAATAACTGCTAGAAAAAACTCACAAAATTCTTAGAAAAAAAACTAAAATTTTCTAGATCTTTTCTAAAATCAATCTAAAAATTTTTTATTTTTTTTAGCGGAAATTTATTCCTCCATTTTTTTCAATCTTAATTTGCCCTTATATGCCAGCATATAGTTTCCAAGGACCCACATCTGCTGCCGGATCAGATCTGAACAGTCCTGTTTCATTCCCCTATGATCCAGCAGCCAATGGCTTTTGTCTCCTTTACATGATAAAAATCTCGATAAGTGCAAAAACAAGTTTGTCTAGATGAAGAAACTATTACTGTGTTTCCAACACGTCCAAATATCAGGGAACCAAGAGGGAAAGTTTAACAGGAAAATTATAAAAATGCATTTTTATGTAATTTTGGTGTCAACTTCTGAGGTTAAAACTAAAAGTGAAGAGGCTGATGTGTTTCTAAATGGCACAGCAATGCAAGATGTTGTGGCTTTCAGTCGCAATTAATTTAAATTTATACTGCAAAAACACAAAATCTTACCAGGCATGTTTTCTCTATTTCCTAACGCAAATATCTTGTTACACCTAAAATACGACAAACTAACTTTCAAGTAACTTTTAAGAAACATGTAGGAGCTTGTTTAAGCTGATAAATCCTTATTTTTGATTAAAATCTACTGGTTCCAATGGTGGATTATTTCACTTATGGGAAAATGTGTATTTATAAGTGGATCTACTAATTTTTAAAAATCAACATGAATGAATTATTGATTTAAAACAAGCTCCTATATATTGCTGAAAAGTCACTTGTAAGTTAGCTTTCACAAACTTCAAGTGCAATAAGAAATTTGCACAACTGGAGAAAACCTACTTGGTAAGATTTTGTGTTTTTGCAGTGAAACCAAGTACAATGCTATAAAACAAAATGCAGTGAAGTAAGAGTGCTAATTAAACACTCAAATGTGCTAAATGTTTATTTCCCCTTGTTCTGCATGCATCACCTCTTTTTTTGCCTCCTGTGAAAAGTTTCTCCACTGATTTTCATTTGCTTTGCTGGTTTTTGACAATAAAAACAAAAGCCAGATTTTTCGTTCTGTCGAAATAAAAGTCTGGAGGCTGTTTTTGTGTTTGCCCCCCACCGCCTGCTCTCAGATCAGTTGTTATCCCTCCGTGTTGTCTTGCGGTCTCAGGGTGTAACCGGTCCAAACCCACCGGCCCGCTGCGAATGCCCGACGCTTATCGCCATATTTTGCAGCGTATTAAGTCGACCACAGGCGCTTTCACACTGCGACTGACTTCCCTCACCTGTTGCACAACCACAGTCTGTGGGGACTTAAAAAAATCAGGCCTGGAAGCTGGTTTCCTCCTTCCCAGCTACGCAGAGAACAATGTCATCTGGTCTTAAAAACTGGTGTTGTGTAACTGGAGAAAATCTCCTGGGCGCATTTTGAAAACCCTGATTTTCTCCATTTTTGTTGACAGTATAGATGGAGCAGACAGCTGAACTCAAAAGCCTGCAAATGCACGTTCCAAAGCTGAGTCTTACTTTTTATCTCCAGAATTTAAACAACAATTGTTCTTTTTTTATTATTATTATTATTATTAGATTTGCAATAAAGTGGAGATTATCAACACTGCAACTCATCTCAGGAGACAAACAAAACTGTAAGCATCTTAAGAGACTGTAAACAATACAGAAACAATGATTAAAAAAAAGTAGACGTTGTAAAAATATATGTCCTCATAGCCTACTAGTGATCTCTAGATACTTCTGGACTTTGACTGGGCCGTTTCAACTTCATCTGAGGAATATTTCTTTGAATAATACATGTGAGACCTTGTTTATGTCTCAGATCTACAATGGAAAAAATATATGATCTTTATCGCCTAGAAGTACTTTCAATTGGCCTTTTTTATCTTGTGTGAAAATAGTTTGTACACCCCTCTATCTTTAATAATAATACTTCGATGTGAACCAAAACACCTAATTCCACAAAACAAGGTTTGGATTGAAGTAAACTCCGGTGCGGTTGGAATGCTCCAAAAGCAGGAAGTGGACTACAGCGCCGGGAATTCTGGGTAAATTCAACCAAAACAAACTTGTGAGTCTAGCGGTTACCAAAGAGAAAACAGAAACAACTAGCACAGCCGCTAAAATCTGACGCCGCTCCACTTACGTTTACATTTTGTGAAGTTGTGTTCAGTGTCTTCTTCGGAGGTTTTTGTGTTTACTACTTCAGTTATTCTTGGTGCAGCGCCCCCACAGGCGAGGAGGGGAAAAGGTTTTTTAAAAGTATTTGGGTCGCTTTTGTGTGAAAGCGAACCACAGCAGGTGAAACTGAAGCAAATGTTGCAATTTTGGTCCCAAATCAGTGTGAAAACACATTAGAAGTATGGCTACTGATTATCGGAGCTGAAAGCTTTGATGTAAAACAACTTCTAGGTTTGAGTCCATCACAAGAAAAATATTTTCAATCTCAGTCGGAGCATTCCTGTTAAGTTAAAAGTTAAATAAAGCAGAATAAAATAGATACGAGGTTTGTGGCAAATCTTTAAATTTTAAAAGCCTTGAGTCGTAAGATGTTCCTCGACTATTAAACAGCAGACAGGAAACGATGAGTTTTCACTGTTCCTGGCAGCTCTTCATGTAAACGTAAGCCCAAGTATAAAAAGGAGCAGATGCTTCAAAAGAGTACACAATGTTAAGGCGAGTCTCCCAGGAGAGAAACTGTTCTCCTTTTGTAGGAAAAAAAGGTATTTAATATTCAAATCTACGTCTTCTTGAAGACAGATTGAGGCCAGCCTGGAATCTCTGTCATCCGCCGCTGCAGCGGGGGAAAAACCTCGAGTGGAGTTTCGTCTTCGTTACGCCGTTATCTCGTGCCTAATTGACGGATATTAACTTCCCATCAGGCAGCTCTAATTATAATCAATCCTCCAATAAGTCTCATAATTAAATGAGCAATTTGACTGGTTAGATTTTAACCCTGCAGCCTAATGAAGATACAAACACACTAATCCATCAGGCGTGTCGAGGTAGACATCTGGAGAACGGCTCCTGTTCAGGAGGACCTTGAGGGATTTCTCTGGTTCCTACCTGAAGCAGATTCATCATTGGTTTCTTCACTCAACAGCAAACATCGCTGCTCGGCCTGAGCAAACATGGACGACTCTCACCCAACGCTCTGAAGGAAGCGAAAAGGCTGAACATACGACTAATTCTAATAGATTTTTGGTTTTGTTCTTGGCTTTTCTGAAGTCGATCCACCCATTCCCATGCTCTTCTTATCTTTACCTTCCTTTAAAGTGTGTTTAAAGGAAGGTAAATGTCTAAACAATTTGTGTCCAGGATGTGTGGGGTCTGCAAAGACGTTAGCTGACCCTAGACCAAGTAATTTGGACACGGAGGAGTCGTTGCCTGGTCCAAAGTTTTGCTCTTTCTGATGTTATCCAGATCTGTTGACCAGAAGTGAAAAATTGGAAATGATAAATAAAGACCTGAGTCTACGGTTGTGATGTACATTAAGCCTGACCGTGTGTAAAATATGTTTTGGAGACTAAAAATTACGGTGCTGACAAAGAAAACGTTCAACCACACCAGAGATAAATCTTCAAAATCCTACTGAAAACAACCAAAATGAAAGGGTTTGATTCCTGTAACGCCCAAAAACTGTTTTTATTTGAAATCTTTTTGAGTCTTTTTGTTGCTCTCCAGTGTTCTCTACAAAGCTGCGTTTTTCATTTAGCATTTTAGGTCTCGGTTGTCTCTTTAAATCACATTTTTCAGTCCACAGCAGGTGTAAATAAAAGAAAAACCTCCTTCCGCGTTAAGAAGTTGCTCAATGCAGCTGCGTCCTGATGCCGCTCAGTAGTCAATAATTAAATGCTAGGCTCGAGGGTACTTTCAAGCAAAAATGAAACAAAACAAAAACAAACAAAAACTGTAAGAGATTTCATTCCTAAAGATTTTCCCATTGAAGTCTGTGACTACAAATACTCATCTCCCATTTGCTGGCATTTATGGCAGATAATCCCATTTTCCTGGCAGCCCTGTGACTGCAGTGAAATCTCCGTCTCTGTGAAGCTGGGAAGAGTGGAAGACAGTGGCCAGGTTCGATGTCACCGACTCCCGGCTCAATCGATCAGCTCTGCAAGCCTAAATGAAAGATGAAGGCTTGTTTTTAGCAAACAAAAGGATCCCCGGGCCGTCAGGCACTGCAGTAAACATCGATCGGTACATCTGAGGCTAAAATCCCCCAAACATCCTCTAATGGATCTGATCGAACACTCAGCTTCCAGTCAGATGTCTTATTCATCATCTCACGACTGTTTTGACACCTCTTAAAATTATCCTCCGATACAACTGAATGTGCTGCTGCCGTGTTAGAAAGGACAAATAATGTCTGAAAAAACACAACCTGAATCAAGCTGTTCCTGTTTCAACTATAGCTATGCGGAAACTGCACACACAGTCAATGCTTTTAAAGTGCAAAGCACTGCTCATCAATTTTTGAAGGGTTATAAAACCATTTCCAAATTATATGCAGACTTTTTATTGACCACAGAAATGACAAAAACCCAAAATGTCTTGAAAGAACATTTAGAAAAAGCCTCGGCAACGGTATTGTTTAAAAGATTTGCAAGAGGAAATCTCTATCTGAAACACCTGGATGTACAAAAAGACATTTGTAACAATGTCCTTTTGAGAAAAGACATAATTAATGTCTTTCAGCCCAAAATATGACAAGCACAGTGTAGGAGGAGTGATGGTTTATTTTTGTTTTTGCTGACACGACACATGTGAAGAACTTACAAAGCAAAACAATAATAAATAATCACCCCCTACCCTTGAACTTGACACGTTCTAATCCATCGATTTAGTTTTTGGACAGTATATTTATATATTATTGTTGTTCTGATCATTGTTACTGATTGTGTTGATGCTGGGAAAGGGCAAAGGACTGAGAACACAACCCTGAGGCACGCCTGCATTCAGTTTGGTTGATCATGATCTCTTCCTGCTGACACATACTGTCTGTTTGTGGACTTTGTGAAATGAAGGGAATTTAAATTAAGAAGCTGGGATGGATTGGTTTGATTTGTGAGACACGGAAAGTAGGATGGATGTAAAGGTGACAGATTCTGCTTGATCCAAGACAGATTGATCAGTTTGGATTTATATTCTTGAATATTTTCTTCATTGCTACTAAAGCCAAAGTGAGAAAGCACAAGTGTCTGTCCAGTGTTGAAATAAAAGCCAAACGTCTGTTCTCTCACTGAAAGATTTGTGGTGGATTCATGGATGCCTACACTGAAGGGCGAAGGAATCTCATGTTTCAGACACGGTGTGGGGCGCTCAGATGATGGTTACAATTCAGCTTACTGTTTACTGTACCATGTGCTGGTTGTAAAATCTGTTGCATCTGTGACAAGACCGGATTTTCACAGCATCTGTCCACTCGTGAAACTGAATCCTGGAGGGGAAAATTTTCTCCCTGCTTCTTAGTTTTCTTGTTTTTTCATGTTGTGGTCACATCACAAGGCATTCAGCAGCAGTTCTGTAATCAAGTTTAAGTTTTAGCTTCTGGTGCAAATATCTCAGTAATACTGAAATAAGACAAAAGTTACTTACATACATATGATACAGAAGGCCCACAAACTTCATAGAGAAACGTTGTTGTTGTTGTTGGGATAGAGGAGTAGTAGTCATAGTATCCTGGCATCATAAATAAGCTCCAGATCCATGATACCGGACTTTACTAAACTAAACTTAGGTTGCATTCACACCAGCCATGTTCAGTCCGATTTAATCTGTGTAGAAAGTCCGGTTTGCTTGGGGAGATGTGAACAAAAAAACAAACTCTGGTCCGCCTACAAACCTAGATCTTGTTAGATTATAGTGAACTCTGATGCTGTTCGAATGCATGCGTATGCTATGCGGAAGTGGACTACAGCGCAGGGCATTCTGGGTAAATAAAACCAAAAACAAACGCTAAAGTCTATGACTAGTGGGAGAAATGTCTTGTGGTTTTTACTAAAGACAAAAGAGAAATCCTACAACCGCTAAAATTTGACGGTAATCCATTTTTGTTTACATTTCGTCAAGCCGGAAGTTGAAGAGAACTCCGGTGCGGTTCGAACGCTACAAATCAAAGTGGACTACCTTGCAGGGCATTCTGGGTAAGAACAAATGCACGAGTCTAGCGCCTGTAGAAGAAATTACTGGTGGCTACCAAGGAAAAAACATAAACAACTTATACAACCGTTAAAGTTTGACGGTGCTCCATTTTTGTTTACATTTCGTGAAGACGGAAGTTGCGTTCACTGTCTTCTTCAGAGGTTTTGTGTCATTTTCTTCAGTGGTTCTTGGTGCAGCGCCCCCATAGGTGAGGAGGGGCACAGGTTTTTCAAAGAGTTTGACATTGAAGTGTGAAAGCGAGCCACACCAGCTGAAAATGTAACAAATGTTGTGATTTTGGTCCCCAATCGAACCATGTCTACTGGACTATTATGGAGAAAACTCCTTCTACGCACCAGCATGTCATGTAAAACCCCCTCTGGGTGAACTCTCCATTTGATTGGTCAGATTACTCTACATACGTCACAAGAGCAACTTGGAAACCCTGAATAAAACACCAGAACCAACGCTGAGTGGTATGGGAAGGAGATCAAATGGAACTCTCCCTCAATGACGGACTGCGATGGCCGAGGGAATATCCTCAATCTAAGCATCATTACATTTTAAACAAGGTGATCCACCAGGAAATGCATGAATGAGCTTGTCTCCACTAAGGCTGCATTTTTCATGAGGTCTGTTAACTTCCTTTGCTCTTCCAAAGTGCCCTGAAGCATGGCACTTACAGTAAGGAGCAGCTGGATCCCTGCCTGAGACAGGAGCATGTCTAGAACCAAGTAAGAGCCATGTATTGATTAGTTCTCATGCAGCCTAAATGAAAGCTCGCACTGTCTTCATTAGCCCTCAAACCTGTCTGCCAAACACTCCAAGCAGTTATAGCTCTTCCAAAGTCACATCGTCTGCCTTTCATCCTGTGGAAAATGTGCATCTGCATACAAGGCGTTCTGATCCAATGCACTAATCCCTGCACACGTTTTCCTCGTTTAACACCTCCTTCCTATTTTGGGAGCTCAGGGAGTCGATTTGTGGTAACCTCATTTGCTTAATTACATAAGAGACACAAAAAGACAGTGAGACAAAGAAGTCTGGGCGCTTCGAGACAGACTGCTGCTCGGCTCGGAGACGGGGCTCCGACTCGACTTCAAACACAATTATCTCTGGACAGGAACTGAAGGTGCTCCAAGTGGATTCTGGCGCCTCTTGGGTCAACCTGGAACACTCCGTGTTATAATTCATAACATGAAACTCAGACTCCCGCTAACTTGTTTTTCTCCAAGATATTTATAACAAGATTCTCTACAGCTCATTTAAAAAAAGATTTTTGGTGTTCATTTACAGTTTATATCCTTAAGAAAACAGCTTTCTGTGAGTATATTTGTTGAATTTCTCTGGTTATATCAAAAACATGAAACTTTAGGGCTGCAACTACTATTTTAGTTACCGATTAATCTGTCGATCATTGTGACAATTGATTAATCAGATAGAAAATTGGCACATTCTGCAGATTTTAAGTTCTAGAAATAAAATAATTTAAGAAAATAAAAATGTTATTTCCTAAAATGCAACAACATCACGTTCATTTAGTGTTTTCTTGATAATTTGATCCAATATATGAAAAGTTCAGGCCTTTCTGATGAACTTAATATTAATACCATGTAGAGCTGATCTATTTAAGATTTTTGGATTAACTAATTAATAAATTGGATCGTAAAAGATGCTCAATAAGAGCATTATCTGCGATTAATTATGGTTCATCATTAATCAAGATGATTAATTATGATTACCGCGATTAATCATGATTAATCACACGATCATGATTAATCGTGATTCATTGTGACTCGTGATTTAGCATGATTAATCACGGTTAGTTGTGATTAATTCATCACGGTTCGTGATGAATGGTGATTAATGATTCATCACGATTAATCGTTTCATAGTAGCTTAATGCAGGGTTAACTCTAATTCTGGTAAAAAAAACAAAAAACTAATTATACAACTGCAATAATTATTGAAAACAGAAGTTGGTTGAACACATCCTGAGTCGAAGCATCTCAATTTAAGTTTTCCAAAACTTTAAAAGTTTGAATACCTGAACATTAGGAGGAAATTTCACCTCATTTCTCACATGGTTTCGCTTTCTGTCAGTCAGATGGTTTAACTACGGTCTCAAATCTGCAGAAACACACTGTACAGCACATGACATACTCCATCTGTCCTCTCCTGGAACGATGCGTGCTCAAATATACACATTTATAAGTTCAGGCATTGCATTGGAGCAGAAGAAAAACACTCGTCCTTCTTTTATCATCTACACATTTTTCATTCTTGTACTTCTGTTCCACACAAGAAAAGTAATTCTAATATTTTTCAAGGCCCGCATGTTTATTTCGAGCCTTGAAGCCAATTCAAAGAGAGACGGTTCATTAAATGTCTCGCAGCTGTCCGTGCAGTGCTGCTAACCAGACAGGTTTTAACTCACTTGGATGTGGTTCTCATCAGCAGGAACAGCTGCACTCTGCAAATTCCCACAAGTAGAAAGAAGAGGAGCGTGTTTGCCACCTTGTTGCATCACCTATTCCTTTAACAGCCCTCTGGAAATGTTTGGGAATAAACTGGAAGTAAAAAGTTTCCCAGTTTCTCAGCACAGATTACATTTCAGCCTCTCAGCAGATTCGGGTCGACTTTCTTCTTTTATTCATCTTGTGATCATTTCGCTGGAGAGCAGGGGGGTGCCAGGATGTAGTACTGAAATAAATTGCATAATACTTCAGTGGAAATTAGGTTTTTAAAGTATAACACCAACCAGTGGAAGAAATAAAAGTCTTAAATGCTGTTAGGATGTAAGGTGTCTTATAACCAGAGTTGTGTAGTAACTAGTTACATTTGCTTGAGTAACTTTTTTTGAAATAATTTACTTTTAGGAGTATTTTTACAACCCTGTACTTTTTACTTTTACTTGAGTAATTTCATTTTAAAGTATTTCTACTCTTAGTTGAGTAAAATTTCTGAATTTTTTACCCACTGAATGAAAACAAACATGCTTTAACCAAAAATTCACCAGACACAGACACACACACACCTGCAGTTTTTGTTTCATAAGTTTTTTGTTTTTTGAAAAAACATTTGGAAATATTTTCTTTTGCCTGATTCTGTTATTTTTCATCATTTGGTCCTTAAAATACCAAAATTTCCCTGAACTTTATTGATCTGTCTAATTATGCAGTTTTTAAATATGAAATGATTGATAATTTGATCAGTTACTCAGCACTTGAGTAAACTTTTTAATACGTTAAATACTTGAGAAAAGTTTCTGGGTTCTTTGCCCTCCTCTGCTTATGACCAGTTCTTTGTGGTGGGAATTAATGACGTCCTTCACTGGTTTCCAGTTAAAAGTTGGGTCCTTAGTGTCTCAGTATCTTATGTAGCTCAGCCAACTTTTCCACCTCTTATGAAGTAATTTCTATTTCAGCTTCATCATGTTTGCAAATATTGGAAAACTGTTAAAAGTGAGATGAATTTAGAAAGGTTTACTGACTGGTAAATGAATTCCTGAACCAAATGGTTGAACCAATTCCTCAGGATGTTGACAAAACTCTACAGACCCTTGCTAATAACTTAACTATTTGATTCAGAGATATCTGCAGGTTGATGCTTTTATTTTGGAGTAACAAAAGAAGTTCCTGCAAGTCTCCCAAACTGCTTGATTATTTAATGAAACTCCTGGAATTAGTTTGAGGATTCAAAAACCTTTATTTAAATTTGTGAAAACTCCTCATTAACTAACAAGTCTACAGGTCTCTCTCACCGTCAGATGAACCGGTAACTGCCGATGACAACATATTTTGCCCTCTTTTGGCCTTGCTATGTATTTAACCTCCTTGTAGATCAAAATCTGACTCCTTTGTAAGCTGAAAACTTCTTATCTCAAACTTTGCTAAATTCAGACCTCATTAAAATAAGAAAAAGTCCAAAGTCCACATTGAGAGATAACATAAGTCTGTCTTAACAAACACCCAGGAAACATTTACCGATCCAGTTCATCTTCCTCTCCCGGTGGTTTTCCTCAGCGGCCATGTTCAAACTCAAACACGCTCTCCACTTCATCACCGTCGGAGCAGAGGGACTATAATGTGTGTGTGTGTTTCAGTTAATGCATATGTAAGCACTGTTTCCTGTGGCTTTCAGGTGTATTACACACAAACACACACTCACACACACACTCACGCTTTATTTAACCTCAGGGATCTCAGATCGGCAGCGCCTGCTTAGCTCCAACATTAATTTCAATTACAGCTGCGATGTGGCGATGGTGAAATGAATAAAGCAGCAAAAATATGAACACAACGCCGGCGTTTCGGCTAAGGAGGAAACTCTTCTGGTGACTGAATCTGGTAATTTGGATTGATTACATCAGCGGAGGTGTTGCAGCTGCTGCAGAAACACAAGAAGGAGGTTTCTGGTTGAGCCAGAAGAGAAATCAAATGATCTTGTTCAAATCCAAACTGTGTAGGAAAATATAAATGAACAAGAAACCAACAAAATCCAAACATCTGATGATTGATTTTGACTCAGGAATGAATGGTTTGAATAAAATCTGAAATTAAATTTTCTGAGGAGGCGAAATCTTCAAATATTAAAATGAAACCTAAACATCCATCTCCTCTGCAGTCCTTCAGCTCGTCCTGTAAGGAATCCCAAAGAGTTTCCAGGCCGGAAAGGTGAACAGAGGCTTGGAAACTGTTCCTATCCTAAGAACTTTTCCATATTTTGTCAACTTATAGCCGCAAACCTCAAAGTATTTTATTTGGACTTCATGTGAACAACACATTTATGCAGAAGACGTGCATAAAGTTGGTTTTCGGTCTCAACTTTG